ATTGGACTAGGGTGAGAAAAGTATTTAAAATATACCCCAGTTATACTGTGCTCAGTAATACTTGATTTAATAGAGAACTGAAACACTAGTAGAATTCCAACTGTTCTTGTATTAACAGACATTTTCATGCACTTCATTTTGTCTGAAAATTTAAAAATAGATGTGCCTTTGGACTGTATTTCAGTCTCTAGCTACCCATGGCTTCTTTGTCAAGAAGCAAATTGACTTTCACTCTATTCCATATGCCTCATTCTCCTGGTTTAAGGTGTGTTGGTAACTGGATATGTTCTGTAATAAGTGAGATCTCAACTTTTCTTGTTGGACCTTCACAGTATCATTGCCCTGCAACTACATTCATTCAGTGGCCCAGTGTGACAGCGTCTTCACATATGGGTGGGGGGAGAATGGATGAGGAGCTGTTGCTGCCTTCTGTTCACTTCAGGCAGGTGAGAATTACAGGTTTCAGAGTACATGTTGGCTCCAAGGAGCATTCTGCCATTCTGCACAGATGAATAAGGCCAGCAAGGTCTTAACCTAGCAGAGACAAAGAGTGAAGGGGCAGTGGAACCAGAACACCTCCTTTCTCCAATTCCACAGGTGATATTTGCTGTGAGAAACACATTTCTGCATCTTATGAAAGGAGACAGTATTTATTCCCCAGCTGTGCAGTTACCTTCAGCTTCTTCAGTCCTGGTCTCACCAAAACATCTCCATGATCTTTCAGCAAGGCCTCCTCTCCACAAACACACATGTAAACACATGGAATGACAGTGGGAACCTTAGTGAGCAGGATCAAGCCTTTCAACAAGTTTCTGAAGAAAGTTTGCAAAAGTCTTTGCTTGCCAAGGTCTGCTACTAGCATCCCAAGTCCTCAACCTGATGCACCAGTTTCAAGAGGAGCATTCCAGACAGATCTATTTTATTCTAGTTGGCTTGTGATCAGAACAACTATCTGAAAGACAAGGGCATATCCAAGAATCATAGAATATACTGAGTTGGAAGGGACCCACAAGGATCATTGAGCCCAATTCCTGATGATATATCAGCTTCCTCTGTCATCTTTTTATGTCCCTTCGTATCCCTATCAATTTTTTCTGGAAGTTGACATAATTCTGCTGAGAATTATGTTGCAGAGAGACTTCCATTTTCAGATTTCGTTGAGACTTTTCTTTTTAGCATACATACTTGTCTTTGCTACTTTGGAAGCTCACAGTATTTTAGGTTAGATATATACATACTGTGCCCCACAGCTGCCTTGCAAGAAGCAGAATTAGTATTTTAAAAGCAAGCCTGGATGCTTAAAAGCAGCCTCATGAATCTCATCTTTCTCAGAGGAGCTGCATATCCAGCTGCTCTCAGCATCTGATGGACTCTCAATCTGAGATGTCAATGGTTCATGCTGCATCTCTAGATCAGCTACTGTGAGGAAAATCATATACTTTTTCTCCCAGCTATGTCTCTGCTGCAGAGGAACACATGACTAGTAAAAATAATCCATACCTGCACCTGTGGAGTGCACATTTTTTTTTGTTACAGTTGTGCTTTGCTCCTTATGCTGCTGATGACTCCTGACATAAAGCTATCCCCACCACAGGACAGAAATAGGTATTTGCACTTGAGGACTGTGTTTCTTTCCAATGAGTACTTGCAGTTTGCTCATACTAGGATCCTTTGGTAGATTTTGTGGGCTTTTCTTATTGCTACATGAAGCTGAGAGTTAGAGGGAACCACTCACAGCAGCCCACCCACTGCAGTCCTCTGTCTCTCACTTGTGCTCCACATTCAGGAAAGCAGAAGTGTTTTGCATCCAATACTTCCCAGTTTAGAAGATCTCAGCAATGTTGGGAGACAAACTAAGCCTGGAGAGAATCCCAGCAGATGTTCTGCACAGAAGTCCATATTCGGGACTGTTAAAGCACAAGCCCTAATTGCTGGTGGCTCATTTTCCAGTGTGATGGTCATGTTCTAATATACCAGTTTGGCTTCAACCCTGCTTGATGCTGACATAAGCACAGACTAAACTGCTAATCCTCAGTGTGCCCAGTCAGCTTCTTGCTTGCACTGTCACTCTGCTTGTTCCCCATGGGCTCTGTGCTTGACAAAATTCTCCAAATTGTGATTTCCATGAGGATCCACTAATGCATGTCCTTCCTGACGTGTTGGTTAACAGATCCAACCATTGAAGTGGTCAGTCCCATGCAGGATATAACTGTTGATGAAGATGGCACAGCAGAGTTCATATGCCAGTATTCTAGGCCAGTACACGCCATATGGAAGAAAGATGATCAGGAAATATATGCAGATGGGCAGCGAGTGATTATCGATCAGGACTGGAATGTGAGCATGCTAAAAATTAACCCTACGGTACCAGAAGACAGTGGCATCTATTCTTGTGAAGCTGAAGGCACTAAAGTGATGGCTACACTTGATGTTCAAGGTGAGGTCTTCCAGCCAAAGAGGAAGACTATCATGGGTTCCAAGAAAAAGAGGTGTAAAACTCATGGCAGCACCTCATAATAGCTTACACATCAGATACGTGCTCTTGGTGTTCACTCCAGTACTGATAATGACGATAAAAATAGTTGGGAATTAATGGGAATTGAATATGAAACTTCAGCATTATCTAAGTTCTAATTTACAGTCACTTATTAGACCACACACCCATTGTACCTCTTCTGCAAAGAACTGGAACATGGATGTGATGGGCTGTGTCCTGCTAATTGTTGTAAAATCACAGATGCAATGTTGGACCAAAGGAATGATATTTTTTTGCTGTTACAGAGGTCTTTTTACACACAGCGTGCTGTAAAAACCAGTAGTTAATGGATAGTTACTGAATTGTAGGATCACAGAATGTTTGGAGGTTGGAATGGACCTCAAAGATCATCTAGTCCCAACCCTGTGCCATGGACAGGGACACATCCCACCAGACCAGGTTGCTCAAGGCTTTATCCAACCTGACCTTGAACACTGCCAGGGTTGGGGCATCCACAGGCTCCCTGGGCAACCTGTGCCAGTGTCTCATCATCCTCACAGAAAAAACTTTTTCCTAATATCTAACCTAAATTTCCCTAACCTAAATTTTCAATTTATACCCATTACTCCTTGCCCTGTCACTACAGTTTCTGATGCTTCCCTGTAGCCCCTTCAGATCCTGAAAGGTTGCTATGAGGTCTCCACACATGGTGTGAAATTCCACTGAGCTAAGGTAGCTTGGAAATTTGCTTATTTTGAATAGCGACCCCTCAGGAATTACCTTCTCACTTGGCATCAGCATTTGTGAAAGGCCTGAGAAACAGCAAATAAAAATATGAGCAATAGGTTTAGGATTCTGTATGAATGTTTTGTATTTTTTTTTGCTACATATGGAATTACTGGTTTTGGTTGCCAAGTGAGTTAGTGTGATCAGCAAGAGCAAAGGTTCTGATCTGATTCCTGAGTATTTGTGCCTATTTTGCCTTCTTGCTTAACTGGAGTTGTTAATACAGAAAACCAGAGTATTATTTATTATATATAATGTTTTCTACACTGACAAGCACTTTCCATTTCAGAGAGTTAAAAATTTGTTAATGAACATAATCTAAAAGCATCCCTGAGGAGGAAGGATGAGCAACTGGCTGCTTTCCATAATTAGGAAAAAGTGCACAGATAAACAGTCTGAGTTTGTTCTAACAAAACTATACATTATCCAAGAAGGATTTACAAACCCCTTATTGTTCTCCACAAATATGAATATTGTAAAATAAAGAATTTGTTTATTATCTCAGAATCATAGAATGGTTTTGGTTGAAAGGGACCTTAAGGGTCATCCAGTTCCACCCTTGCCATGGGCAGGGACACCTGCCACTAGACCAGGTTGCTCCAAGCCCCATCCAACACTCTCTGGTCAACTTGTAATTATTAATATGTTAATAAATAAATGGCAACTTGTGCTTTTTTTCTATTTAGAAATTGTTCAGTTGAGGAATAAAAAAATATTTATGGGTTTCTTGGTTTTTTTGGAGGGGGTTCTTAGAACATTTCTAGGTAATGATTACAGAGAACTAAACATGAATGACTTGGGGCATTAGCTTACATCACAGATTGTGCTGACCATTGTATGGTATTTGTGTAAACTGTAATTACTCAACTGTGTGTCCCCACTCTTGTGCATGTCCTTTGTTCCTTTAGCTCATGAAACACGAATTATACCCACACACACCAGCCCACATTTAATTTTTGCATCAGGCTGATTGCTGATGTACAGGTGCCAACTGATGCATGGCCATGTGGGCAAATAGAGTGTGGAGCTATGTGCATGTCTCTGACCCCACAATTCACCACACATGCATGGGGAAATATAGTTAATTATCACAGAGGTTTTGTAATCATTCAGAAATTTACTTTCAAAGTACTCCTAGTACAGATTTTAACTCTTTGTGTGTTTCCTAGAGGCAGAATTAACTTGGATGACAGTTGTTAAAGCTTTGCTAGGCATAATATTCTCTTATACTTGCTTTGCAAGAAAAGTAATATGATTTTGTCAGTGAGCTGTCAGTGGATTCATATCTCCCCAAAACATGATGATAATTGTGCTGTCTGGGAGATCTTTGAGAAATGTTTCCTGCTGTGGGACAGAAGGAATTTGGTAACACTTTTTCTTCCCGAGCTATCCCCTCCTATTGACTATTAGCCTAATTCATACAAACACTACCAATTTTTTCTTTATTTGTAAAAAATAAAAGTCAGGTTTTTGGAGGAAATCCAAATTAAATGCTAGAGCTTCTAGAGATTTATCATTGGTTTTAAATTATCTCACTACTTTAAATCTTTTCAAAGACATTATTGTGTTAGAGCACTGTTGAGATCAACAATTAAACCTGCAAGCACAGTTTAACATATTCACATTTTTCCATCAGCTTTCCAGCAGTGGGAATCATCCAGTGCCCAGAGGCTTGTAATATTCAGATATGTATAGCCAAATAATTAATAATGTCCTCTGTCTTTTTTTTTTTTTCTAGCCAAGAACAGCATTGTCCAGGGCTTGGAGAACGTGGAAGCTGTGGAAGGAGGGGAAGCCCTGTTTGAGTGCTATCTCTCCAAGCCTGAGACCTACAATTATAACTGGTTGATTGATGATGAACCTGCCAAAACTACAGAAAACACTGAGATGGTTTACTTTGAAAATGGACTCAGGCATATTCTGCTGATGAAGAACCTAACTCCCCAGGACAGCTGCAGGGTGACCTTTATGTGCAGTGACGCAGTAACCTCAGCCTTCCTGACAGTGAAAGGTAACTGAAGCACAGGTGCATGTGGAGTCTTCAATTTCTGGTTGGAAAAGGGAAATGAACTAGGGAAATACAATGAGTAGCAGAGAGGAAAAATTGCATTTGTTGCTTCTTAGCTAAATCTTCCTGCACAATAAATAATAGAATCATTTAGGTTGGAATGGATCTCTAAGACCACTAAGTCCAACAGTTAACCCAACACTGCCAAGGCCACCACTAAACCATAGAATCAGAGAATCATGGAAACACAGAATGATTGGGTTAGAAGGGACCTTAACAATCATCATCTAGTTCCAACCCCCTCCCATGAGCAGGGACACCTTCCACTAGAGCAAGTTGCTCAGAGCTCATGTAACCTGGCTTTGAACACTTCCCGGGATGGGACATCCACAACTCTTCTGTGCAAACTGTGCCAGTGCCTCACCTCCCTTGCAGGGAAGAATTTCTTCCTAATATCTAATCTAAGCCTACTTTCTTTCAGTATGAATCTGTTCCCCTTTGTCCTGTCACTCCAGGCTTTTATAAATAGTCTCCATCTTTCTTGCAGGCTACCTTCAGATACTGGAAGGCCACAATTAGGTCACCTCTAAGCCTTCTCTTTTCCACACTCAACAAACCCAATTCTCTCATCTCCAAATGGATGATGTTTTTTTCTTATTTTCTTATTCTGTATGACATGACATGGTTATAGGCAGGATCAGTTGGCTCTGAGTTAGCAGCAAATGACTGTCTCAGTGTTGTCATTATTCTCATGGATTTGGTTATGTTTAGAGGTACTTCAGGGTTTTAGAGATGAGAGTTATTTCAGCAACAATATTATCTCTGTATCCTTGTACTTTATGCTATTACTGGAGTCACCTGTGGGGATAGGAACCCTTTTCAGAGTACAAGAATGTCCATCAGTCTCCAGTTATGGATTGGATAGAGCTTGGAGCAACCTTGTCTATAGTGGAAGGTGTCCCTGCCTATGGTAGTGGGGTTGGAATGAGATGATCTTTAAGGTCCCTTCCAACTCACACCATAATAGGATTCTATACCTTCTGTTCTGGTGATACACATAACCTTATTTTTAATGATCTTCTTGGTCTCCAAGGTCTGACTGTTCAGAGCTTCAGTATAAATACTCACAACATCTCTTGATTGTTTCTCTAACTGAGGGCTTGATTACCAATTCTAATCTACAGGATGGCGCCTACAGTTCTTGCAGCCTCTCATGGATGTGGAAGTCTCTCTGGGGGAGAAAGCAACATTTAGCTGTGTTCTAAGTGAAGCTGTGCCAATTAATGAAGTGGCCTGGTATAGTAATGACATAGAGATCCAGTCGGGTGAGGATTGGGAGGTACAAGCAGATGGAAACAAATACAAACTTATTCTCAAAAAAGCCCAACTGCATCATTCTGGAGAGGTGACCTTTGCTTCCAGGGAAGCAATAGCATCAGCCAAGTTATCTGTGATAGGTAAGTGTCTGTTGTTCCAGCCCAGTGGCACATGAAATCTCAAACTTTGGTATTTAGCTGCAACCTTGAAATTTCTAATCTTTGTGCTGATTCTCTCTTTGCCTCATATTTCCCAAGTTAGTGTTCTTAGCCTGAGAAGATGCTGCTGGGCAACTTGTTCTTTGGCCAGAAAGAATTCATCTCATTGGAAGAAAAATATATCAGGCTACTGATGGTAGAGATGTTTGCAAACTTCCTTTAGCTGCAGTTTTTTGTAAAATGTAACACAGAATCTAATAGAAATCAATTTTCTCAGAGTTCACCCTCAGCAAATGTTGACATAGGAGGGAGCTGAACTAGAGCCCCCATGGAACAATTATCCAGGACAGCACGGAAACCTTCGAAATCTGCTAGTCTACTCAAGTGTGGGACAACAAGTTTTCAAAATTCATGAGTTGCATATTAAAATCTTCACGTGGGGGACATGCATGAAACACACCCCTGGTACTCTGGAGATATAAGTGTCAATAGCTCTTAGGGTACTTCACAACTAGAGAAGGTGATATTCCCTAATTTCCTCATGGAGAAGGCTAGACAATGATTTGTCAGTGTCCATTTCAGCACCTAGGTCTGGCTCCTTCCCAGGAGGACAGGTTGGTCACCCAGCAGTGGTCATGTCAGCACCACCCCAGTGATGGTTATGAGATAACTGAATGTGTTCTAGCTGTACATTGTAGTTGAGGTGTTTAAGAGGCACTGTTTGGCCACCCATTCTTTAAATGGCTACAGGAAATCTGTCTGTTAAATGGTTTCTGAGACTTGAGAGATCTCTGATATATTCCAGTCATTTCCATATAGCAAGTGGTTGTGATGCATTTAAAACAGTGTTACCTTATTTTGGACATCTACATTTTAGGAACTGCCAAATACTATCCTCATTAACTTCTCCTCTGGAGAGTTTTTCTGTATTAAAGTTGTCTGAAAATAGAGAAAAGAAGCTTTTATATTATGTTTGTGGTGTCCAGAACTGGCTGTTGACCATATTCGCCTTTAATCTTTGGTTTGGTACATTGTGGCAAGCCATTCACTTGGAACATGCCTTGACCTTGGAGTCTAAAAAGAATTATTTCTGTCATCTAAACCAAAGTATAATTTAAGTGAGGAACATCTTCCAAGGTACTGAATATGGGGATGGAAGTAGGTGATCCTCATGGTCTCTTCCAACCCAAACCAGTCTGTGCTCATGAGTAATCCATCTGGTAGGACACCAGATCATTCCCATTCCATATTTATTTGTTGTTGCCTCATGCTGTGATATATATCACAATTAGACAGAAATCAAGTGACTTGCTATTAAAATACTAGAGTTAGTCTTTAGTCCAACAATAACTTGATTTCCATTAAGACCAGATCTAGTATAAACATAATCTACAAGGCCCAAATGTACTTCAAGTTTTCTGCTAAATTCCTTGATAATATGAACAGTATAGGGTTATCGGACACCAGATCATTCCCATTCCATATTTATTTGTTGTTGCCTCATGCTGTGATATATATCACAATTAGACAGAAATCAAGTGACTTGCTATTAAAATACTAGAGTTAGTCTTTAGTCCAACAATAACTTGATTTCCATTAAGACCAGATCTAGTATAAGCATAATCTACAAGGCCCAAATGTACTTCAAGTTTTCTGCTAAATTCCTTGATAATATGAACAGTATTTATTTTGAGCAAAGCAGCAGGAAAACAAATCACAATATATGGCATTAATTATGTGAGATGACAGTGGGAACATGAGTGTTTGTCATTAGCAGAGTAGAAAAGGGCAGAAAAAGGAAAACTCAGCAGTGCACAGCCATGTCTCATGGTCATGGGCATGACTACAATGACTTTACACTCAACTTCACAATAAGACAAACACTAAATCTGTTGTGCTTCCTTCTCATTACTTGTAGAAGGCTCTTGGGTGTTTTAGAATAAACATTATTGTACACATCATACCTCATGGGACCTCTGTTGTGCCTTCAGCCCACCCTGATCCACCTGAAGAACCAGAAGTTTTAAGTAAGAGCAGCCACTCTGTCACTCTGTCTTGGTACAAGCCGCTGAGCGACGGCGGTTGTGACATCCTGGGCTACAACGTGGAGAGGAAAATCCCAGGGATTGGCTGGCAGTCCTGCAGCAAGGGCATTATTCAAAACATGGAGTTTACAGTGGATGGTCTTGCCCCAGGTGAACCTTACAGATTCCGTGTCTCAGCCATAAATAAAGTGGGGGCCAGCGAGCCAGTGCACTTCCCTCAGATGGTGCAGCTAGGTGAGGATGAAGAAATGCCCCATGGAGGACTGCAAGCTGCTGTAGAGCTTGTATTTTGCATGGCATGTCTGCTTCACCCATTCCAGGCATCTTCTGGAAGAGTTCACTCTGCAACATCTTTCAGTGCTTTGCTGACAACACAATAGAGGAGAAAGAGCTTAGAAAGAATGTTCTGGGCTGTTGTGAACAAAACCTGCTGCACTGTTAGTACTTGACACTTGTTTCCTCCAAATTGCATCAAGCTGTCTTGCAGCCTGCACTGCATTCATGTGTTGCCTGGTCACCGTGAGTTTCTTTTCTGGTGGAGTTAGGGTGGAATGAGTCAAAAGGGGCATGTTGGAATGCATTTGGGGTAACCAAGATGCTGGCAGTGGCTGGGCAGTGTTGTCTTCTTCATCCATCTTTCTCTTTTGCTGTATTATTTGTGTATCTTTTTCAATAACCCTCACAAAGAAATGCCAGAGGACACAGTTCCTTTGCTGTCTGATGGTGAAACTTTGGAAGTTACTGTGGGATGGAAAGCCACTCCCTCAATCTTTCTTTTCTCATCACACTTCCTGTGATAGCCAAGTGCCCAACAAATTCCTCAAAATGAGAATAATAGAATTTTAGGGGTTGGAATAGACCTTACAGATGACCTAGTCCCAACCCTCACTGCCATGGGCAGGCTCCCACCAGACCAGGTTGCTCAAGGCCTCACCCAGCCTGGCTTTGAACACTACCAGGGTTGGGGCAGCCACCACCTCCCTGAGCAACCTGTGCCAGTGTCTCACCACCCTCACAGAAAAAGACTTTTTCCTAATATCTAGCCTAATTTTCCCCTCCTTCAGTTTGAACCCATTACCCCTTGTCCTATCGCTGCAATTCCTAGCAAAGAGTCCCTCCCTGGCTGCCTTGTAGGCCCATTCAGATACTGATAGGCTGCTATGAGATCTCCACACAACCTTCTCTTCTCCAGGCTGAACAGCCCCAACTTCCTCAGCCTGTCTTCATAGGGGAGATGCTCCAGTCCTTATCCATCCCATTACCCCTTGTCCTATCGCTGCAATTCCTAGCAAAGAGTCCCTCCCTGGCTGCCTTGTAGGCCCATTCAGATACTGATAGGCTGCTATGAGATCTCCACACAACCTTCTCTTCTCCAGGCTGAACAGCCCCAACTTCCTCAGCCTGTCTTCATAGGGGAGATGCTCCAGTCCTTATCCATTTTGTGGCCTCTTCTGGACTTGCTTCAACCATGTCCTTCCCTTCTTATGTTGAGAGCACCAGAACTGCATGTAGTATTCCAGGTGGGGTCTCACAAGAGCAGAGCAGAGGGGAAGAATCACCTCTTTTGACCTGCTGGCCACACTCCTTTTAATGCTGCCCAGGATTCCATTGGCTTTCTGGGCTGCTAGTGCACACTGCTGGCTCATTGTGAGATTCTCGTGCACCATCACGCTCAAGTCTCTCTCCTCATTGCTGGTCTCAATTACTTTCTCACCCAGAAGATCTTCTAGAAATCTGTAGAACTCCTTGAATACTGGTGACACGTAAAGACCAGCAAATAAACACAGGAATGGGAAAAATGCAACCTCTTCTGCATGTTTATATTTAGATGGAACTGGTTGGGAGAGCTTGAAATGTTGTTTCAGTATTCTCTTTGGACGTGCAGGATGCTGCCAGTCTTTTCATTTTGTTCCTTTGGTTGTCTACAACAGCTGAAAAATCTATAAATTATGGATGGGATAATGGATATTCTATGGAGTGATCTGGAGTGCCCTAAAGGCAGATTATGAAGTGTTCTTTGTGTTAATTAACTTTATTTTTGTACTTGCAGAGCCTCCACTTACAGTCACCCGTCCTTTGGTGGGAGGATCAGTCTCAGAAGGGGGAGTGGCTCACTTGGAGTGCACATTATCAGGTGAAACTAAGGAGAAAGTGACATGGTTCAAAGGAAAAGAACAAATAAAAGCTGGAGGGAGATATGAGATCCTCTCTGATGGAAAAAAGCAGATACTCATTATTCATGGATTTAAACCTGAAGACCAGGACAGCTATACCTGCATGGCTTCTCCAGAAGTCAAATCTGTTGCCAGCCTGTCTCTTGAAGGTATAAGTGTGCATTTCTGTGATGTTGAATCAGGTGTGTTATGGACACCCAGGAGCATCTCCACAACTTTGACTGGAATTTGTTTTCTTTTCAAAAGAATTGTTATTTTCCTTTTTGGTATGTTCCAGTGTGTTTCTGCATCCCTAACAGATTTGAGCTGATCAGATAGGAGTTTCCTGCACCAAATATTTAAGGCAAAATTAGGGCTCTTTTGTATGTTCTTCATGGCATCTGCCAAATGACTTTGAATCATAGTGTTTAGGAGACTGAATTGTGTCCCTATGGTGGGATTTGGTAGACCACATGTGCATCTAGTGCCATTGAGGCACTTCAGAATATCATCTCTGCTCTCCATCTCCTCCTTCACAGAGACCCAGAACATTCATGGGTCCTGTGTCGTATCTCAGAGCCACATCTGGATGCCTCAGACAACCTGGAGCATCTCAAAAGGCACTGAGCACTAGGCAGAGGCAAATGAATGTGTCCCAGAGGGTGAGCCACAACCTTCAGACTTAGACACATCCAAACAGGGAGGTGTGTCCATGTGACATGGGAGTCTCAGCTCCTAGCGTAGCCCCTGGAGATCCGTTCAAGACATTCAGTGAAACCCTGTCTAGCTGTAACATAGCTCATCAACTGAAACATTTAAAAAGGGTAGAAATGTATTTATTTGGTTTAAATATGCAAGGAATAATAATAATATAAAGTTGCTGTTTGCCTATGTTTTAAGTGCATATATAGAATCATGGGATATTTGAGTTTGGAAAGGGTTTCTGAAGATAGTATAGTCCACACCCTTCTCAAAGCAGTGTCACCTAGAACAAATTGACTGGGACCATGTCCAGTTAACATCTCAGAGAGATTGTGGAGTCTCCTTCTCTGGGGATATTCAAAAGCCACCTGGACACAATCCTGAGTAACATGCTCTAGGGCACCCTGCTTGAGCAGGAAGGTTTGACTACATGATCTCCAGTGGTCCCTTCCATCCTTACCCATTCTGTATGATTCTGTAAATTCACACTTTGTTCTCAACAGAATGTTTAGTTAAAGCTCAGGCTTTAGAGTAACATTTCCACATGCTTTCTCAAAGTTTATTCACAGACTTTGTCTCTTAACATCTTATCTGTTTAATTCTCCCCAGTTTCCACAGCGGCAATGTTAAAGGAGATTTCCAGGGAAGCAGCCCCTGCAAGCCAGACAGAAGAGATGGTGGATGGCCATGTCCAGCCCAGATTGCCCCCTGAGGCTGCTCAGGAGGGAGATCTGCATGTCCTGTGGGAAGCCCTGGCCAAGAAACGTCGGATGAGCCGGGAGCCCACCTTGGATTCCATCAGTGAGTTGCCTGAAGAGGATGAGAGGCTGCAGAAGCTGAGGAAGGAGGAAGCAGAGATGTCTCACTATTTCTCAGAGGAGTATTCCACATGTGATGAGCTGGCTAGGACAGGAGAAGCAGATTTCTCTTTCACAAGCTCAGATGATGAGTCTAGAGCTGGGACACCTTCACTAGTAAACTACCTCAAGAAAGCTGGAAAGACAAGTATCACTGCTACTAGCAAGGTTCAGTCTGTTTCCACAAGCAAATTATGGAAACAGTGGGAGAAGTCCAGTGTAGAAACTGCTATGACCACCACAGCTGCTAAGCCAGCTGAACCAGAACTGCCAGATTTAGACGATCCTTCCATGAACAAGGCTGCTGTGAAGATCCAAGCTGCTTTCAAAGGCTACAAAGTGAGGAAAGAGATGAAGCAACATGAGTGCCCAGTGTTTACTGAGACTTTCAAAGACTTCTCTGGTGAGCCTGGAAGCACTCTGCACCTGGAGTGTGTGGCCCACAGCAAAACTGACATGAATGTCCGATGGCTGAAAGATGGGGAAGAGCTTTCAGATGGTCGCTACTACCACATAGACAACTATAGTGATGGGACCTGCTCCTTGATTATCGCTGGCCTGGACAGGAAAGATGCAGGTAAATACACCTGTGAGGTATCCAATAAATTTGGAAAGGCTTCACACAGTGCTAAGGTGGTTGTGGGCACTCAGGAACCTCAGGTCCTTCTCAAGGAGAAGCAGGCTAAACATAGCACTGACAGTGAAACAGAGAGCTCATCTGGCAGTGAGCTGGATGATGCTTTCCGGAAGGCAGGAAGGAGACTCCATAGACTCTTCAGAGCTAAGATCTCAACAGAGATATCTGATGTGGAGGAAGAGCTCTTTGTCAGTGCAGATGAAGGGGACATAGATGTGGTCGACCATCAGACATATCGTGAGGATGACCAGTACATCTACATCAAGTTTGAAATCTTGTCTGAGGCAAAAACAGCTGCTACTCGATTCAGAGAGATGTTTGGTGCTCTGGGAATTCCTGTGCAGATTGACATTTTGGAACAAGGCCCTAAAAAGATTGAATTGCGCATTGGGAAGGCATCACCACCCACCCTTGGGAAGTTTGCACTACCAGTAGCAAGACCTCCACCACCTTTGCTGACTTCTGATACAGGTAGGTGAAGTACACATTGTTTATTCCTTGGGAAAGACATCTGCACAGGTCACAATATTCTCTTTTCACTCACAAATAAATTCAAGAAAGCTTTTTTTTTTTTTGTGCAGATATTTTTCTGGAAACTTTGCACTTTGGGGGAAAAAAGTATTTTATGTTGTTTTTCATTTTGAGGGAGGCAGTAGCAAAACTGCTCTTCACAATAGAAATGTCTCCTACTACAATAATATGGCTATAAATGCTATGATTATTATACTTAAATGAATGAATCAGTTTTTAGAACAGTCCTGAGGGAGACATTTCAACAAGGAGAGGAACAGAGGCAATATATAGTTCGCAGCTGTGGTATTGCAGTGCTTATGGAATAGCTTCATAGTGTTCATCAGGAAGTTTCTTCTTGAAATTTTTCATAGAGAAAAGATATCACTCCGCAATTAAAAAACCTAGAAACAAGAAGTATTCAGGTACTGGGCAGCACTGCCCTTAAAATACACAGAATCATAGAATTTTATGTGTTGCAATGGACCTCAAAGATCCCCTCGTCCTAACCCCATGCCATGAGCAGGGACACATCCCCACTAGACCAGGTTGCTCAAGGCTTTATCCAACCTGGCTTTGAACACTGCCAGGGATGGGGCATCCACAGCTTCCCTGGGAAACCTGTGCCAGTGTCTCACCATCCTCACAGAAAAAAACTTTTTCCTAATATTTAATTTAACTTCCCCTCCTTCAGTTTGAACCCATTACCCCTTGTCCTATCATGGCAGTTCCTAATAGAGTCCCTCTCCAGCTCCCTTGTAGCCCCTTCAGATACTGATAAGTTGCTATGAGGTCTCCATGCAGTCTTCTCTTATCCAGGCTGAACATCCCCAACTCCCTCAGCCTGCCTTCATAGACCTTTTCACAATTGATTTCACAGTGGGTGAAGTCCCAACTTCCTCAGCCTGTCTTTTTAGGGGAGATACTCCACTCCTGATATCAACTTCATGGCCTCCTCTGACCTTGCTTCAACAGTTCCATGTCCTTCTTATGTTGAGAGCACCAGAACTGCATGCAGTATTCCAGGTGGGGTCTCATAAGAGCAGAGCAGAGGGGAAGAATCACCTCTTTTGACCTGTTGCCCACACTCCTTTTAATGCTGCCCAGGATTCCATTGGCTGCATTTCTCATCCACTGTCACTCACAAGCCTTTCTCCTTATTGCTGGTTTCAATTACTTCCCCACCTAACCTGTAGGTGTGCCTAGGATCGCTGTCTTTTCATACAACCAAGTTTTTCCTTTCTTCTCTCCCATCTATCCTGAATTTAGCTCCCATGTTCATGACTGAGCTCCAAAACCAAGAGGTTCAAGATGGATATCCAGTCAGCTTCGACTGCATTGTCATTGGCAAACCACTCCCCACAGTTCGCTGGTTCAAGGATGGGAAAGCTATTGAAGAAAATGATCACTACATGATCAATGAGGACCAGGAAGGGTGTCATCAGCTGATCATCACAGCTGTGGTCCCCACTGACATGGGTGTTTACCGTTGCCTCGCTGAAAACAACATGGGAGTTGCTTCAACCAAGGCTGAGCTGCGAGTGGATTGTAAGTCTCAAAATCACTCTAGAAAATCCAAGGAAAGGGTCCTGCTGAGAGGTGGATATTTCTTTGTTCAAGAAAAACATCATTTAAATTAAAAAAAATTTTGTGTTGGCCACAGAATTTTCACTTGCAAACCTCTTGGGTTCAGCTGGGTTTTTCCAGCTCCAAGGCAAGGCTCAGAGCAAAGCTTTTCAGGTCAACAGAGGTGTTTTCCATAATCCAGGGACATGTGGGATCCTGATGCAAAAGGAGTGTGCAATCAACCTGAGAGTCACTCAAGTTAGCAGGGCAACTATAAGTCCCCTAGTTACTATATTATAGTAAGAATTATAATAAGTAAGATAAACAGTATCAAAGCTCAAATTATAGAAAACTCTGCTTTTCCCATTTAACAGTGACCAGCACCGACTATGAGACAGCAGCAGATGCAACAGAGACATCATCTTACTACAGTGCCAAAGATTATATTTCAAGGTAAAATACTGAACCCTCACTCTTTCTGTCTTCTGATTTGATGAGATCAATATGTATGTTTATGTCAAGGCTGGTTTCTAGAGGACCAATTTAATGTCATAAAGGAGCAGCAAGACCAGCTGAGATGCAGTAACTGCAACAGCTGGACATTTATCATGTGCTGACTTGCTCTGGCTGCCCTCAGGCATGCCTGGATGTTTCATCATGGTATCACTCCATTATTTTTAATGTCAGATGGTGCTGAATCTGTTCTCCTGATGACAAAACCCACAGCCTGAATTAACCCAAAATAGGTCATTCTGTTTCCTAACTCTTATCTGGCTTGCTGACTTTCTTCTTTCTAATTCTAATTGCTTCCTAGCCGAGAACAGGAGGAATCCACCACTGAGGAAGAGCAATTGCCCCAGATCTTTGATGAGCTTCATGATATTCATGTGGCACCTGGAGCATCACTGGCTAAATTTCACCTGAAGGTGAAAGGTGAGTGGAGCCCACAGACTGTCAGTTGTTTCAAATTTGCTCTCAGGGTGAAGTGCTGGAGACAGTTTTCCAATGTCCTCTTCTGCAGCTGTGACCCCAGTCCTGCACCACAGTTTGCACACACCAGTTAGGAGAATGTGTTCATGCTGATGAACATCAAGTTTTGCAGCAGATTGAGGCAGATTCAGTGTCTCATCCTGTTCTGTGTCTCCAGGCCTAATTACAGGCATATGCTTCTGAAAACTGAGCTCTGTGTTTCTCTGAACACAGGAACAATAAGGAATAATAAAAACCGTAAGGGTGTCCTGTAGTTTCTTTAATAAATGAAACAACCATGGACTTGCCTTACTCTATGAGAGTGTTGCTGCCACAACCTAAAAACTTCACAAACATCCTCCTGGTGTTGACTGTGGTAGGGAGAGGTAGGAATTCTCCTGTTTTCTCCTATTGCTGTCTATAAACATAATGAGAACTGATTTGGCTTCAACTTTTCAACTTGTGTACATTGAAAATCAGATCTAAGCGTTGCTTTTCCAACCTGTAAAGCATTTGCACATGCAACCAATATGGGGAGTGCCAGAAACTCATGAGATAGGAAAGAACTATGACAGATAAATAGCCATTCCTAATTGGATAAGTCCTTGAAACAGCAGCCCTGGGCAGAGCTGGTGATTCCTTGCCTCCTGTCCAGAAGGATCTGCCTGTTTGGAGATGCTCCCAAATCAATATTGGCAATGTATTCTGTTTTCTGTGTTGTAACTGCTCCTCACAGGGTACCCGCAGCCTCGTCTCTATTGGTTCAAAAATGGACAACCCTTGAAGGCCTCGGATCGCATCCTGAAGACTGATAGGCAGGAATTCCACTCACTGGAAATTCGCAATGTCACTAAGGCAGATGCTGGCCAGTACTTGATATTTGTCATCAACTCTGCTGGTTCTGCATATTCCTCAGCCAGGCTGGTTGTCAAAGGTGGGTGTTGGACTATTTTTGGCACCTGCTTTTCTCTATTCCAGTGGCTTTTCCCATTTGATATAGTTGTTTTTCTTGAGAAAACCTACCGAGGTAACTCAAGTGAGATGGGGAAGTCTGTACATGAAAGATGATGTGCTTTAATCTTGATTCATCTATAAATTTACTGTTTAAGAAGATGAGATGTCACTTCTTTAGGGTCTGATTGTTGTCTCATAAACATACATTTTATTCCTTCCCAATCTCATTCACTTTAAAAGTTCATTTTATTAAAACTGAGGGTCTCTTAGAAATCATACCAACATTTCTGTGTAATATCTCCTGCAAGGAGTAATTCCCTGCAGCCTTTTTGGTGAGGTTTTTTTTTGCTTCAGCTCATGCATGGAAAGGTCTATTTGTCATTTTGGTTTTTTTCTCCTTGTGTTACAGATCCTTATGAGAAAGAAGAGCCATCAAAAACAGGTGAGAGAAGCCATAGCAGGTGATAACAGAGCCCCTCAGGAATTTTCCAGTCTAAACTCACCATGTTTCATCAATGCTGTCATTTCCAGATTCCCATGAGCAGCTGATACCACCAAGGTTCCTAGAAAGATTTACTAACAAAAAGGTGAAAAAAGGTGCAAGCATCACATTGTCTGTGAAAGTTGAAGGTAAGTGGATAGATACATTGTCTCTCTGCATAAAAAATTGCATAACTTCACAACACATTCTTGACTCTCTCTGCCCCAAGTCATTGTAACCTCATCTCCTGTATCTGAAGTCTGTGATTCTATTCCCAACTTACATCTAATACAAAGAGACATTACACAAAAGCATCTTATTTGTCTTCACCTTCATTTTCCTGTATGTAAAAACAGGGTTAATAACACTTAGTCTTATGCAGATGTGTTGATTAACAGTTTTTCTTTTACAGAAAGATTTCATGTCCTTATGAGTGTGCTGTAAAATAGTTTATGTTCCTTTATTACATATTCTGACTGTTATTGTTGGGAAAGCATCAGGAAATAGATCAAAACATCATTTTATTCATAGCATGGCTCATATTTGTAAGGAAGGAGCAAGATTAGGAAGGTTAAAGCTCATTGCATTGGTTTTCCTTTAGGACATCCACCACCAACTATTACTTGGATGAAAGAAGAGGCTCGGGAAGACATCCTGTGGATCAAACCAGACACTCCTGGATATAAACTTGCCAGTTCAAACCTGCATCACAGTCTGATCCTGTTGGATGTCAAAAAGAAGTACAGTGGAGCTTACACATGTATTGCTACCAACAAGGCTGGTCAGTCCATCTGTACTGCCAACCTGGAAGTGGCAGATGGTAAATCTTTGTTATAATACAAACCCATTCTCTGTATTTCCCTTTTATACAGTGCTTAAGAGGAGAAAACAAGGGTGATCAGTAAGGAAACTATCAAATAACATCCAAAAAATTGCATTCTCTCAAGATTACCTATGACTTTGGTTGTCTTGCAAATGATTACACTGTACTTCTATAATGTTTTAGATTTCTGCTTCTATCTTGGATTAACAGCAGCATGTTTTCTGTATAAACAGAAGATAAAGTCTAAGGAACAACCAAATTGAGCACAAACTAAAAAGAGAAAGAAAGGCAATGCAAAGTTACTAGAAAATCCCAGCATTTGAAAAATTATTTTGAGTGCTTCAATCTGCTATTTTGCAATGTAAAATTGCCTTAAGGCAGTTAAAGTTACTTGATTTCCCTCTTACAGAGCTTTCAAGGGCCTCTCCTGACACAATTCCTTCAGTAAAATGGGGTACAAGGGAATACAGACTGGGAGTTGAGGCAGTACTGTGAAATACTCTATTTTTCTGTCATCACTCCTTGCATCCCACATTTTACTGTAACAAGAGCTACAGGATCATAGCTTGAGTAGTGTAGAGAAATGGGGCAATCAAAATCTACATAAATTGGGAGAAGATAAAACTATTGACTTCATAGGAGTGGGAATATGTATCCCAGGTCAGGAAATGCTACAGATTTAGTATTCCAGTGTTTCCAGATATTTGTGTCTAGAAAATGTGGCTACATTAAATACATAACAAGAACATTCTCTGCCTTCTGTCTTCTAATGATAAACTCTAATCTTGCAGTGAAAGAGGCTGAAGTTCTGACCCAGGAGCGTGTGATGGTGTCAGAAGCCATCATGACCACACTGGGGTAAGTGGTTGGACATCCATGCTGCAGTGGAGCAGTGCAGATACAACCTGCAGAAGTTTCCATGAGTCACTTCTAGGCAGTGTTCACTGAGGATATCTGATATTCATGTCTCAGCACCAGAGTTATTATAGTTTGAGGTCCTAGGATGGAAAGTGCAATGAATACTCTAGTATCAAGGTCAGGCATTTATGCTTGGTGGTCAGGGAGGACAGGAACAAGTATCAAAGAAATAAATAGATTTGGGTAGGTCATGTCACAGCTTTTTGACTTTTTCATCTCCTAAGCAGAATGCCAAAGAAATTCACAGGGTCAAGGTCTGACTGTTACTTGGCAACATTGAAATACACCTGCATCACAGGAAAAAGTAGATGAAAAGCATCTATTTCACAAATTTCTTGTTCACAAATGCACCTGAAGAATAACCTCCTGAATTCACTGTGTTTGGCTTGGATACTAGGCAGATACAGTTGGAAAAGCAGTATCCACCTGAATACAAATTAGCTTTGAGAATATGTCTGCCCTAAAATGCTTGGTCAGTCTTCCTATGAAGTGTGAAGGAGTGGAAGAAAGCTGCAGTGTGACTGCAACCTCTCCCAAGGACATAGGCATATTCTCAGGCATACTTAGTGCTATATGTTTTATTATAGACCAAGTGGAGTGAGCTTCCTCCTGCTCCTTATATACTGAGAGACGATTAGGACAGATCAGCTTGTGCAATGAAAATGTTTATCCTGCCTCTTAAAAAGCACAGGAGTAGTAGAGATGTTGACATGAGGATATTAGTTTTGACAGAGCTGTAGTCTTGGGAAACACCACAAACACTCTTCATGAGATGCAAGTAAATTCTGGTAGTTCTTCACATCTGTGAAGACATTTTCACTCAGTGTTGACAGTTGGTGCTAGTAAAAGCTATCAGTGTAGCAAAGATCTCTTTGGACTTCAAAACCACTGCAGTACCAGTAGTCAGCTTCTTTCCCAACACACAAGCATCATGATGTGATAGGAGCAGATCTCTTGGCAGGACATTATCTACATATTCTCCATATTTTGGTTTCCTGGTGAAACTACTGGAAGTTTGTTGAGCATTAGTTCCCTTAAAATTGAGACTACAGATCCCACTTGGCATAATGGCTCTGACTGTAAAGTTTTATTTCAGTGTCAGCTGGGAATTAAGTTCCAGTAGTGCCAGGGAGATGAAGGCTGCTCTGTTTTGCAATGCACTCCCAGCTCAGCCAGGTCTTCTCAAACAACAGGTTGAAATAAAAGTCAGGAATGAGGAGAATTCCCAGATGGGATTTGCCTTGAAGACTGAGACATACAAGAGTTTCCATGCCCATATGATTGATCCAGGTGCCACAGTTCTCAGTTCTTATAGTGACCCTGAAGTGTATCAACTCCCAAAACCTGCAGCCCAAACCAGGGTTCTAACATAAATATTCCCAGGGTGGAAGAAGGGGGGATGTGCTTCTCATTTAGGTCTCCTTACTATCCATTTCATTTTAAATTTTAACTCTGCTTTACTTTCTTTTTCAGAACTATTCATTCCTCAGAAACAAGAGAAGGTAAGAGAAACTATTTTCTCTCGCTCCTACCCTTCACATCTTCGACTGAGATTGTTGATGTATTTCATGATTACCACCTACCTGTTTTCTTGAAACTGTCTGAAAATTTGGAACTTTTCAGGACTGCTCTCTGTTCAAGAGTGAATTATTTGGATGAACTTGAGCAAGCACAGTTGCAAAAACAGGAGAAGGGAAGAAAATTAGACCTTCCTTGCATAGAAGATTTTGTTACTCATAAAAGACATGACTTTCCAATGACACTTCCTGCTTAATAGCAAATTCTCTCTTTTCCAGGAGACCTTGAAGGTGGCAAAGAAGGTGTCCCCAAAAGCCCTATTTCATTAGCTGATGTTGGCTCAGAGGAGTTCTTCCAGAAACTCACCTCACGTATCTCAGAAATGGTATCTGCAAAAATAACTCAGGGTAAGGAACCTGGCAAACACAGTTCAATTACTGTAGAAAAAAATGCAGTCATTTTTTTAGGTATCATTTAGTTATGAGGGAGATTTATGCAGCAGGTTTTGAAATAGCCATCCTACATAAGCATCTGAACATTTTTAAATGCTCAGGACTAAGAAATTTTAGTGACAGTCCATCCAAACTGTGTCTTAGTCTACAGTTCTGAACTAGAAAAAACACAAGTTATTACAGTAAGTTGTAAAAATAGAACTGTACTTCGCACATCTAAGGTATTTTGAGTTCCTCAGATATTCATCACTCCTGAGTTGGAAAGCAATCCTAGTTACAAGCTTTTCCACATCTTCAAGTTTTAGCTCACAATGGGATTTTAAAATCAAGTTAAGGCTGAAAATTCTGTGCACAGCTGTGCTGTAATCCAATGATTTGCTGAACTAAATGGATTATGTTTTGCCTGACCATCTTTTAGTAAAATATTAGCTTGAGGAAAAAGAGAGGCATTACCCCTCCAACAAATACTGCAGTGCAGTAGGCACACAGCATTATGTACTCACACATCCCAATTGTTTGTTTAATCCTAAATGTCAATAGGATATCACACTAAATACTACTATAAGTGCTTTTTCTAGGGAACATTTGCTTTTATAAAATAGAAAATTATTATATATGTGGTTCATGTTCAAATTGGAGATCCACATTTTGCTGTTGCTCTGCTTTTTAGCTAAACTTCGAGTCCCAGGTGCAGAAAGTGATGATGAATCAAAAACTCCCTCTGCATCTCCTCGCCATGGACGATCCAGACCTTCATCCATTGCTCAGGAGTCCTCCTCTGAATCTGAAGATGGGGATTCCAGAGGAGAGGTATGATATCTCCATGGACAAGTTTGGCACAAGGAGAAAACTTTACTTAAATCTCCTCTGGTTTAAGGATCTTCATGCCCTTTAGGGATATGCTTCAATTAGTAGGTATATTTAGTAGTTCAATATTGGGTCTGTGATAGACAGCACAGAGAATCAAATTCTGATGCTCAACATGTGATCTTGAACAAGTTGTTCAAGACAACATGATCAAAACATCCATTATTTGGCACCTTTTGCTTTCATGACTGAGCTTCAGAAAGTCAGAGCTTGATTTTCTTTGGCCTTGAATAGAGTTGTCAGAAGAATTTTGTTGAGAATTTCTTCATAAGAGAAATGAAGAGTATAAAATAACTGTCATTTCATGCCTACAGATCTTCGATGTCTACATGGTCACTGCTGACTACATACCTGCTGCACCTGACAGGGAGACCATCACTCTGAAGGAAGGACAATATGTGGAAGTCCTTGATTCAGCTCATCCTCTGAAATGGCTGGTCAGGACTAAACCCACCAAGTCTAGTCCCTCTCGACAGGGCTGGGTATCTCCAGCTTATCTGGACAAGAAATTAAAGGTGATTGATCATAGATTCATAGAATAGTTTGGGTTGAAAGGGACCTTAAAAAGTCACCTAGCCCCAACCCCCTGCCCTGGGCAAGGACACCTTCCACTAGAACAGGTCACTCCAAGCCCCATCCAGCCTAGCCTTGAACATCCTGTTGTGTTTTTATGTCATGTAAAATTACTTGCTACTCTGGCAGTTTAGAGCCACCCCCTTTGCAAGGAGTGATGGATGAGGAGGTTGTTGAAGAGGTCTATAACATGGTTGAAGTTTTTCATGTTCTAATTACACAATATTTCTGGCATGTGCAGAGGTGCCTGGGTTGGAAAGACCTAATCACTCTCCGGCAAAAACAGGAATTTCACACTATTTAGGAATTGTTTGATGTGAGCACATGAGGAATATTATTCAGTGTGCATTGATAAAAACATGTTGATTTGAAAGAATAATGTGGGTTTTTTCTTGTATTGTAGTTGTCACCAGAGTGGGGAACAACAGAAATTCCAGAGTTTCCTGGAGAGTTTGTTTCTGAAGATGAGTATAAAAGGAAGCTAAGGTGAGTTTGTGTCATTTGGTATTTGCACATTTGAGTTTTTCTGTCTTTTGAATCAACATGAGTGTTAACATCTAGGTCCCCCCTGTCAGAGTCGCTGGGTTTGCTTTGCTGAGTCCTGCCACCTACCCTTTTCCAGAATCAAGCAAACCCTTGATTCTCTCAGACCTGTGTTTTGTGATATTTGATTGGGTTTTGCCATTGCTTTCAGCGTAGGAAAATTCTAGGCAATCTAAATCATAGAATCCTAGATTGGTTTGGGTTGGAAGGGACCTTCAAGATCATCTCATTCCACCCCCCTGCATGGGCAGGAACACCTTCCACTAGACCAGGTTGCTCCAAGCCCCATCCAACCTGGCCTGGAACACTTCCAGGGATGGGGCAGCCAAATTTTCTCTGGGCAACCTGTGCCAGTGCCTCACCACCCTCACAGGAAAGAATTTCTTCCTAACATCTAATCTAAAATGACCCTCTGTCAGTTTTAAAGCCATTCCCCCTTGCCCTATCACTCCATGCCCTTTTCAAGAGTTCCTCTCCAGCTCTCTTGGAGCCCCTTTAGGCACTGGAAGGGGTTCTAAACACTCCCTGGAAACTTCTTTTCATATTGGATAACTTGAAAGGACAGTTTTACATGCTGATTTTCTGGAAGCTCTCATTTCATAAAATCCTAAACTGCAGTACCTGTGTGCTTTGGGGTGCCCTATATCTGGGGATGATGTCTGAAGAGGGAGGGAAAGCACTCACCCTAGTGTTACTGCCTAACAGAGCCACACACTCCTGAGTGTGCTTTCATAGAGATATTTGCTTTTTTGATTGGGTGAAATGGCATTGAAGTTGCTACTGTCTCTTTTACATAGATCCTTTTCATGCTCATGCTCTGTTTTACCTGCCCTAGCAGTAGATTTCTGTAAGGTAGCAGTGGCTGTCATTAGACACTCTCATTAGCAAAATGTCTAAGTTCCTGTTATGATCAGACAGGATCTGGTCAACACTCTCTAGGGATTCTGTTCCTCTGATCATATATTTCTACTTCAGAGCCTGAAAGTCTGTCAAGGATAATTGTGATAATTTTTCTGTGAATTTTTGCCTCTCTTTGTCTTCCCTTCAGTGTTCTCATTCAGGAGCTGTTGATCTCAGAAGAGGATTACATTCAAGATCTACAGTTCCTCCAGACTCATCACCTTAAGTACACAGAGACCTGTCCCAATGTCCCAGGAGCTGTTGCCAGCCAGAAATCCACTATCTTCAGAAATATTGATGACATTACTCACTTCCATTCCAGGTGGGCATTTCCATGTGCCTTCATTTGAGACCATAGAGTCTCACACACAAGGTGTCAGAGCCATGTAATGATGATGATGATGATGTGAAGCACTGGCAGTGTTGAGGTGCAAGGGTATTGATGGTCCTTTTGGGATGATAGATGATGGCATGGCTTAAATCAGAGCACAGGGTGGGGACGCCCATAATACCCTTCTGAGCTTCAAGGGTTCATATGTCCAGTTTGTTTCTTACCCTTTTAAGTGGATTTAACTGAGAAACAGTGAATTATAAGAAAAAGGCAGCAGGGTGTTACAGGTACTTCAGATGTGTTTTCATAGAGAAATCCATTCATGTAAAACTGATGCCAATGTTCATCATTCCCGACACATCCAGGTGTGGCAGGCTGCCCAGATACAACACATGGCACAATGCCTCTGCCTAGTCCAAGACAGGATTTATTGCAGATCTGCTGCTCACAAGGTGACTTCCCAAGGTTCAGGCTGAAATACTTTTAGATACCAGGGTGAGGAGGCGTCATACAGTGTCTAACGAGCCTTAGGCTAAGGGACTTCCTTTTGCACCTGGATACCCTTGCTCTCATGGGAAGTGATTGTTCTCATGTGAAGTCCCTGTCAACAGCATGAAAATCAGCCTTTCTTCCCCATTTTCCTACCCTGTCATCTAATTGTTGGTGGACCTTGTGGGGAGGTCAGTAATATGTATACACAACACTCAACCACCCGTGAGTGTGCAGCATCTTCCCTGAGTGATGTGGGCTCTGATTAGTGCTGGCAGCAGTGTAAACTGGTGCAGGACTGTGAGCAGGTTACAATGAAAAGGGTATAGTTACTCCGGGAAAAGCATTATGGGGGGCACTGCTCCTGGAATTGGGGGATGATTATGTGGGACATCTGGCAGTTCTCCCAGCTGAGCCAGAAAAATAAATTTCCCCTCTCATTCCTCCTTCAACTTTGGCACATGAACTTGCCTCAATATCCTTTGTGAAACAGAGTGGAGATCTCTCTCGTCACTCATTTGGATGGCTCATAGATCATTAAACTGAGGCATAAAGCATCAGGGGAGAGGTTAACTTTCCAACTTGATCTAAGGCCTTGAAAGTTATCCCTACCTTCCTTGCAGGGCATTTCACAGAATCACAGAACACTTTGGGTTAGAAAGGACCTTAAAGATTGTCTAGTTCCAATCCCCCTGCCATGGGCAGGGACACCTTCCACTAGACAGGTTGCTACAAG